GGATTATGGTTATACTAATGGGCTTTCCCTGAAGTCTTATTAACATTATTCGGTCAAACTTCTCATTATAACCTTTGACTGCTTCTGCTACACTTCTTCTTGCTATTAATGCCACCCCATTTCTTCTTAAATTTTCATTTCCTGGGTAAAACACTGTTTAATTAGTACCTACAGAAACAGATAAAACAATATCTGTCTATTTTCTTCACCTGGGACACCATACTCCTGTTGATGCAGTCCAGAATTGGCTTGTTTGGCTGCTGCATCATACTGTTGATTCATGTTTAGTTTGTGACTAGTAAGATACCTAGATCCCTTTCACATGTATTGATTCCAAGCCAGGTGTCACCCATCTTACATTTATGCATTTCATTTTCCCTGCCTATATATACAGTAGTACCTTGCATTTAGGTAAAGTATTTACCTTACATTTTTAAGTAATATGGTGGCTTAGTAGTTAAGACAACAGTTCTGATGATCATAAGGCTGGTTGGCAGTTTGAGGCCCACGTGCCATGTGATGAGGTGTGCTCCTGTCACTAGTCCCAGCTTCTGCCAACCTAGCAGTTCGAAAGCATGCAAATGCATGTAGATAAATAGCTACCACTTCAGTGGGAAGGTAACAGCATTCTGTGCAGTTATGCTGGTCCCATGACCACCAGAATCATCTTCAAACAATGTAACAGAGATGAGCACTGCCCTCTACAGTCGGTTATGACTAGACATTCATTTCAAGGGGAAACCTTTACCTTTACCTTTTTAAACCTCACATTTATCCCTGTTGAAATTCATTGTGTTAGTTTTGGCTCCAATCTCTCAAGTTCATTTTTCATTTTGAAAGATGATATAACACTGTCTGGTCCAAAACTTATAAAAGCTTGAGGTTAGGGAACTCCCAAGCATACAGTGGATGGTGCTCAGAATGAAAACACAATGGAGTAAAATACAAACTGCTTCTTTCCTCATTCTGATCATCGCTTCTTCTTCTTCCCCCTGCTTCAAAGCCCCTCACAAACAGCTCTCTGTGAGATTTCCATTGAGGATAAATTTCTATCAGTTGAAGATATTTGGACTCTTACAGCCCCACTGGACCAGAGAAAATGAGCCTGAGAACACTGTAACCCACCTCCACCATCCAGGAACCTCTTCCCTGACATAACTAAACTTTTTTTTTTTTTTGATGGTGGGGATTAGAAATGTCCCCGGTCTTAAGCAAATTGAAGCCTAATGCAAGGTGAGGGGTGACCGCCTGTGTTCTGTATGTCTGATGGTGCCTCCCCTAAACTGGCTTTCAGATGTGACAGAGGGACCCTGCCTTGCTGTCAGTCTTGAAGAATAATCCAACTGCATGTCCAAAGAGTTTTTGCACATGGAATGGGAGAGGCACTTCAGGCAGCAAAATTTCTGAGGCATTGGGGCAGGCAAAATGGGTGCTTTGTAATGCTCACAAAAGCTGATCTTTTTCAAAATGAGCAAAGGGGTGCACATCTTTCCCTACCTGATGTAATTCTAAATACATTTCTGAAAATCATGGCATTTAATTCAAAGCCAAAGATGACTCAAATGAAAGCAGAAGTTATTTTAGTGCCTGGAAGGGTTTGAAATATCTGGCAGTGGCAAATGGCAGCTTCCATTTCACTTGGAAGGTGAAATTGCTGTGGAGTTTAGTTTGAACTTTAATGAAGCTATCCCAGTTGCTTTACCTATTGTAGGCTGGGGACTCCCATGTCAGTGGGGTGGTGAATCTGCTCTGGGAGATTAGCCAGACCTTTAAAGATGCTGATCCTGATCTCCTCCCAAATAGGTACAACATCTTGTATAGTCCCTTAAAAGTTCACACTAGTCCCCAAAGCAGATTCACCAGCCCACTGACAGCCACCACAGGACTCTGATGGATAACCTCAGTTGTGAAAGGTCCAAAAATATGAAACAGATTGAGAGTGGGCCACTGTCCTATATCTCAACAATTTATGTTCCTATGAACTTTTCTGTTATTTATTACTTTCATATAAACAAGCCAAGACAGTTTTACAGAGCAGGGATACTGATTCATTACTATTTTGTTGTGGTTTGAGCATTGGATTATGACTCCGGAGACCATGGTTCAAATACCTGCCTGGCCATGGAAACCTGCTGAGTGACTTTAGGCACTCACATTCTCTCAACCACAGAAGAAGGCAAAGCTGCTCTGAACAAATCTTGCTAAGAAAACCTTATGATAGGGTTGTCTTAGGACGTTATCACACGTGGCCCAGAAACTGAAAATAAAGTGAAAA